CATTCACTGGTTTTATCATGTCCACATAATCTATTACCAAGTGTTTGAAAGGTCCCTCTGGTACCGGTATATGTCCAATTGGTGTCGTTATTCCTTTTCTAATAATGTGCTCACATTCTTCCAACCTTGAATCTACTGTTGCCTGCATATATGGAGACCAAAAACCTTGTTTCTTAATCTTTCTCATTACCTCCCCTCTATGGTCAAATCCATGTGCATTAGTAATAAGTAAATCCAGCAGCGTTGTAGGAGCCATTATTAGTCCCTCATGTGTTCTCCATAAATTATTCCAATCTTTTGTTGCACCTCTTTTTTCCCACATCGTGTGCTCATTTATGTTGACTCTCTTGCATTCTTATTATATAATCTATTTCTGGGTCTGCTTCTATCAGAATCAGTGGAGTCTGTATGGCTACTTTACATTTGGATGCTATTTTTGCCGCCTCATCTGCGGCATTGTTTCCTCTAACGTATTCCTTTCCCTTTTTATGTGCTTGACATTTAACAATTGCTATTTGTTTTGGCCTCCTTAACGCAATCATCAGTTCTTGTATTTGTTCAAAATGCAAAATTGGGCTTTTCCTAAATCCTCTCTGTTTCCAAACTGCTCCAAACAGATTACATACTCCATGCGCATATGCTGAATCAGTGTACACATTTACACTTTGTCTCTTCCTTGGTTACATGCTGCTGTCAGTGCTCTCAGCTCTGCTAGTTGAGCAGAACATGGTTGGTCACAACTTTCACTCTCTATGGTGTAGAAGTTGTTGTCTAGCCCTTTCCTTACTACTGCATAACCAGCATGATTCCCTTCATAATCTCTAAAGCAAGACCCATCTACAAACAACGGTAGCTCCTAGGATTGGAATCGACAACAAATCAGGTCCCAATTTAGTTAACATCAAAGACTCTACTACACAGTCATGCGGGTCACCTTCAGTTTCTATTGGTATCCTCTCTGCTGGGTTAACTGTAGTACACCGTTTTATGGTTATGTCTGGATAGGTCAATAAAGTCAAATGCTCCAATATTCTAGCATTGGTCAGTACACATTTTCCTTTCTCAATCAACTCAGTTATCTTATGATGAGCATAGATCACCAATGGGTATCCCATTGTGATAGTGGATGCTTTGTCATATGCATACTGTACAGCTGCCAATCCCTGGTAACATGGTGGATGTCCTTGTGCTACTGAATCATCTAATTTAGAGCTATATAACACTATGGGCTGCTTTCTCCTTCCTGCACAGGTTTCTTGCATCAATACTGCTGTTGCAAATCCCTGACAGTGGTTTGCTACATACAGTAGGAAAGGTTTTGTGTAGGCTGGAGTTCCTAGTGCTGGAGCTGTTTGCATATCCTGTTTATCGTTTCAAATGCTGCTGTTGCATTGCTATTCCAATTTAGCTTTGCCCTCAACTCTGTTACTTCTGCATTGTTCATTATTTTTCTCAACGGGGCTGTCTTTGCTGCATACTCCTCTACCCAATCAGAACTGAATCCTGTAATTCCTAAAAATGTCAACATTTGTCCCACTGTTTGTGGCATCGGAGCCTTACTCAACCCTTCCAATTGCGAGGGAGCAATCACTTTAGTCTGATGAGCTATAGTCCTTCCTAGGTACTCCAACTGTTCCTGACAATATTGAAGCTTTTTCTTTGACACTTTATGTCCTCCTTCTGCAAGCCTCTCCAATACTTTTACAGTGTCCTGATGACATTGTTCTATCGTGGTTGCACACACCAGTAAGTCATCTACATACTGTATCAGTGTTCCTTCCAATGTTAGGTATTCTAAGTCAGCTCTTAACACCTGATTAAATAAATGAGGAGAATGCTTAAATCCCTGAGGCATTCTTGTGTATGTAAATTGCTGACCTCTGTATGTAAATGCAAATAAGTGTCTACTCTCTTCCGCTAATGGTACACTGAAAAATGCTCCACATAAATCTATTACTGAGAACCATTTTGCATCTGGTGGAATGTTTGTTAGCAGTGTGTGTGTGGATTGGGCACCTCTGCTTGGTAATCTTGAACTATTTCATTCACTGGTCTCAGGTCCTGGACCAGTCTCCACTTCTGTTTGTTCGCTTTTAGCACTGGTAGCAGTGGTGTGTTACAGTCACTCTGAGTTGGAATCAGTACTCCTGCCTCTAACAATCCCTCTATTGTAGGTTGGACTCCTGCCTCTGCTTCAGGTTTCATTGGGTACTGCTGTTTCCATGGGGGTTTTGTATTCACCTTTACTCTAACACAAACTGGATTAGCTGATTTTACCAAACCCACATCTGTATCATGTTTTGCCCATAGTTGTTCTGTGATCATACTTTCCATTTGTTTCCTTAACTTTTCCTTTTTTGTTTCTTCTTTAACTACTGGCATTTGTCTCTCCTCAGTCATTCCTGCCTGTGGTTCCCCCATCAATTCTGCAGAACATAGGACTTTAATCAGGTTCTTGTCAGCAGACTGGAAAATCAATGGATTCTCTGTATTTTCCCATTGTGTATTCTTAGCTTTTTTCATCATTGGCCCTAAGTCTTTTGCCTGATATCCCTCTGCCACTAAAAGTGTTATGTGAGGTTCTGTTCCTGGTATCTCAAACTAGGTTTGTATGATATCAAATCCTGGAGCATCATGCGCTTCCATTGCTGCCCCTTGTTTCCCTATTACAAAATACTGCGATCTCATGGAGGCCGGTTTACCCCATGCCTTCCTTAACCATAGTTGTTCTAGCAAATGATTTTGAAATAGGTGATAGCCTAATTTTGGTAACTTCATTTCTGGAATTTGAGCCCTAATAAACTTTCCCCACTTCTTTAGTACCTCTTGTACTGGTGCTTCTATGTTCCCTATCCAATATGCATTTGCTGTTTTGTCCATAGCCATCATTATTTGTGGACGTACCCCTTCCTGATCTATTATCAGTCCCTCTGATATGCATTTGATTTGGATGCCCATTCTACACAGTGCATCACTTCCTAATAGATTAACTGGAGTCTGTTCTGATACTAATATATGTATGCATGTAACTTTTCCTCCTGCTTCTAGTTTTACTGGAACTGTCATAGGTATTAGCTGTGTTTGTCCCGAAAATCCTACTGTCTTTGCATATTTGCCTGACATGGGGAGGTGAGAGACATAATTTGGACTTACACATGAGCAAGTTTCTCCAGTATCTATCATCATTGGTGTGCCTCTATTATTCACCTGAACCTGCAGCATAGGTTCTTCATCAGCCTGCATAGTTACTGCCACTAGTTGACCCTCCCCTTTAGGATTCCCTGGGCATCCCTAGTATCCATGATTTGGTCCTCCCCATGGGTTCACTGGGCCCTGTGGAGCCTGTGTCTGAGACTGCTGCCATGCATCCGAGCTGGGCCCATTTCTTTGCCAATTACCCTGTTGTGGTTGCCTAGGCAGCCATGGGTTGGTTGGACAATCCCTTCTCATATGTCCTGATTGATTGCACCCCCAGCAGACACCTGGCGGTCCTCTTGGTCCACCATCTTGGTATGTCTGCTGTTGTGATCGGTACCCTGGATTCTTTGGTCTGTTTCCATTTCCTTTGTTTTGCCACTGTCCAGGGGATTGTTGTGTATACACATTCACTACTGGTAAGGCAGGAGCTCTTTGGCCTTGCTGCTGAGGCGGTGGTTGTTGACCTCCCTGGACGACAGGTGCCATGATGCCCTCTTCAGGCGGCGCTGGAGTGATCACTGAGGCTTGTGTTTTCTTTTTTTCCTTTCTTGTCAGCTCTTCCAGCTGCATCTGTTTCAGTTTTCTTTGAATGTCTCTCCCTTGCTCTGTCAGTTTCTGTTCGTCCTTCCTGTATTTCTCCACTGCGTGGATAACATGGTCGCAGAACTCTTTGTGTGACTTTGACGTTAGTCCCATCACATCTTCTAGTCTGCTTCTGACAGGAGTTGGCATTGCTTCCATCAATGATGTCCTGAACAGTGTTGTCATCAGTGGATCCCCCTCTGGATCTCTTTCTGTTTCTTGTCGCAACCTCTTGAGCTGGTCCTCCAGGTAACCTGCCAGGTTTTCTTTATCCCCCAATGGCTCCCCTCTCAGTGCTTTAGGGTCTATTTTGGCTGGATACTCTATTCTCTGAGTGTGCCATAGTCCTGGCCTATAATTGTCAAAGGCCACTCCATCCAGTATCATTCTCCGCACTGCCGGTATGAGGCCATCTGCCTGCAACAAGTTCTCCATTTTGGCCACTCCCACCACCCTGGCCAGCAATGACTTCAAGTCTCCCACCGCCAGTAGCTTCCCCATTGTTTGTTCTTCAAATGTTCTAATCCATTTTCCTGCTCCTTCATGCAGGATAGGCAGTCTAGTCACCAGGCCTTCCAGGTCCTGTGATCCCCAGGGCACATAGTGAACCTGTGTCCCCTTTACCAAAATGGGATATTGAGCTCCATACTTTTCTAGCTTTTTTATTGTCCTTCTGCTTCTTAAATTTGATTTTTCCAGATGGGCTTGCCGTGTCTTACCTAATTCTGTTACTATAGGTTTGCCTCCCGTGGCTCCTTGCTCTGATAGTCGTCCCTCTGTCTCACTCTGTTTTTGATCAGAGTCAGCATACTGTCTAGGTTCTTCACCTTCCTCATCACTTGTATTCTCCCCATCTTTTTCCCATCCCACTCTTGTTCATCTATCCCATAATTTTCCAGTTCTGTTAACATGCCCCTCAGTCCTCCATAACAGTCTATATCTAAATGTGATGATTTTCCTCCTCTTTTTGGTGTGGAAACCTGTTGCTTCCCTTCTTCTTCTTCTTCTTCATCTACATTCCCTGTTATTGAGACTAGACCTGTGACCTGAGAATACTGCCCCCCTTCTGTGTATGGTGGTGGTGTAGTTAAGACAGCCTTTTTCGGTTCACATTCCCTCATGATCCAGGACTCCTTATAACCAACTGCAGAGTACACACGCAGAGGGTCCGCCTAGATGCAGAGAACGTGTACCCCCAACACATTTCCCCTGCGGCACATATGAGTTGGACCGGGGCTGACTGGACCACCCAGGAAGTTAAGCACGCTCAGCTAGACACTGCCGACATGTTGGCCCAGCTCCAAAGGTTCACAGTCACCCAGTCAGAACTAGCAGAGCCCAGGCGAGAAAAACGATTCCTTGGGGCGCTACTCTCAATGGGTGCAGCCGTAGGGTCACTATTTGCTCTAGGTACCACTGCCGTCAACGCAGTCAGTCTAGCCACGGTCAAAATAAATGTTAGGGAGATTACTGAAGAGATGCCAATTATCCAGCAACAGATGCAATCACAGGCACTCAGGTTTCAGCATGTGGGAAGGTCTCTCCAGGACACTATTCTGGTGGTAAACACACACGCTACTCTCCTGAACAAAACCCTCCTGTCGGTAGGCAAGCTAGTAGAGGTCATGAACCATGACTATGCCCATGTCCAATTGGTTTGATGATTGTTGGAGGATTTCCTCCGTGAAGTTAGCTCTTCTATGGACCACTTGGACATGAATAGAATCCCCTCATATCTAGTGCCCTCTCAAAGGTGCAAAACATATTGACCTCAGCTACCACAACCATGATAAAGCCATTACTGTCACACCTGGCCTATAGTCTGGTGTCTGCAATTCCAATACGTTGATGTTAGTCGAAATGAAGTGGGATTTTTACTGACGCTGCCGGTTGTTGAACTGGAGAATATATATAGGTTGAAAACAGTTCTAAACATAGGATTTTGGTGCGACAACACCCATGAGAAAATCACCACACCTCCAGTCATAGCTTATCAGGAACACAATCCAGATTTCTATCTCACCCATAACTTGTTAATGTGTACTCTAACCAAAGACGTCCACTACTTGTGTCCTATCAAACCCTTCGTCAGGGATAACACTGAGCGCCTTTCTGGCCTTAAGCCTATCACCAGTGAAGAACGCTGTAGAGCCAAACTAACTGCAGGAGGTGGAGTCACCACCACGCAAGTGGAAGTGGTAGGGAATCAACGGCTGATGTCACGACTCTCCCTGGGTGAGGATCAAAGGCCTCACATCAGCTTGGCAAATGGCCGACAACAACCAGACCCTCTTACCCACAGGGAGGGGGGGATGTGCCGGTCTTGACACCTTAATACTGCCATAAATTAGAGAGGAGTAGAATCTATCTCTGGCACTCTAGTATGATGAAAGGAATGCCTTTGTTTCAGATACTTTTTGCCGCCCAAAAACTTCAACATCCAACAATGAACATTGGGACAACTCTCCTTGGCCTTCTCCTGCTCCAGGAGAGTGTCTTGAGAAATGCCTTAACTTCCTATAGAACATGTGTGTGCAGAACTGAAAAAGTGTGTGCGCGCAAGGAGGCCTACAAACCTGACTCATTTACACCAGCTCTGTCAGGAGGAATGGGCCAAAATTCACCCAACTTATTGTGGGAAGCTTGTGGAAGGCTACCCGAAACGTTTGACCCAAGTTAAACAAAATTTAAAGGCAATGCTACCAAATACTAATTGAGTGTATGTAAACTTCTGACCCACTGGGAATGTGATGAAAGAAATAAAAGCTGAAATAAATAATTATCTCTACTATTATTCGGACATTTCACATTCTTAAAATAAAGTGGTGATCCTAACTGATCTAAGACAGGGAATTTTTACTAGGATTAAATGTCAGGAATTGTGAAAAGCTGAGTTTAAATGTATTTGGCTAAGGTGTATGTAAACTTCCGACTTCAACTGTATACACATACACACATATATAAACCAGTGGCCACTGCTAAATGCTTGCAGGGGAAAATCTGCTGAAATAACTGACCTTTCAGGCTCTTGGTTGAGTCAGACAGAGCAAAAAACACCCCAACATCACTGATCCATTTAGGCTCTGATGATGATCCCTCTTGAGCCTATAGGGAAGAAGAGTAATATTGTTTTTAGAATAAAATGGTGGAGTATAAGTATGTTTTTGACATCCCCACTAACTAGCTAGCTAATTTGAATTTTCAGTTTATATCCGTACTCTTTGCTAATGTAGCTAGCTACTTAGCTAGCCTGCTACGTCATGGCTGTGCTAGCTAACATTAACTAGAAAGTCCCACCTAGCATTTAACTAGCAAACTACTGTATCTAGCTAACATCCAAACAACATACTGGCTAATTGAACAAAGAGCAACATATCTGTATATTAAAATTAACGTGATGTAAAAATACATTCTTTATAAATAGTAATTAGCTAAGACTTACCTTGGCTACATCTGGTCTTCTCCTGATGTTGCCACCTGCTAGACTGAAGTGGTTCCCGCCACCTGACTGATTTCCTTTCACGTGCGTGATTGGTTTAGACTGGTGTAGCTGGAGCGGACATGAGCGCGAGAAAGACCGGAGAGTGAGACAGGGAATGATCACATTTCTTCCAACAGGCACATTTTACACTAGCTAGCTATCCCAAGACGAGCTACATAGCTAGCTACAATCTCCAATCCTGACTCCTAAAATGGCCGGAAATTCAAGTAAGTAAATATGTTGGTTAATTAAACTGTAGGTATTTAGTCTGTCCTATTGAATAACTAGCCACCTATCCAACTAGCTAACATTAGCTAGCTACCTAGCTAGCCACTGTAAGTTAGCAAATAACGTTGGCTAACATTAGCCACGATTAGCTTACAGCTAATGTTTAGGTTAGCTAATTGTTGGTGAAACCATAATTTGGAGAGGAAGTACAAAACCATCGACGCTAGACAGAGAGGAATTTGCTTAAGCAAAAGGCAGTTTATTAAACCCAGAGATATCTGTTACTGTTAGCTAACATGCATGGGATCCTGCTAATTAACATGCATGGACCTAATCATATAGCACTCTATTAGTATCAGCTGAGAAGGATGGATAAACAGAGTTTACAGCATTACTTATACAATGTAACATAAAGGAAGGGGTCCTTCTTCTAGTCCCTTGATTGGTTCCGAGGCGTAGGAGGCGGGTCTGCTCTGTCCAGAGCAGATGCCCCATTGGTGCACGGCAGAGTCCTCTGCCCTTGGCACCCGACCAGTAGAAGGAAGTGGAGTTTGAGTGTGCGTCCACAGTGAAATGTCTGTGTGTGTCCAGGGAACTCGTTGAGGAGTATCTGTTGGTTTTATGGCCGGAGGTGGGGGTGTTGTCCTATTATCGCATTCCTAGGCCATCTGGTGAGAAGATAAGGTGTTCTCCTCTGTCCTTTTGTTCTCTGACCTGGAACAGCATTTATTGAAAACAGGCTCCAAATGGGTCTTACAGAACATTTTAGTCAGACCAATCTATAACAAATTATATTTACTACGACAAATCCCCCTCTTCACGTCTCCCAGACGTGATCCATTAATTATGGTGGCATGAAGCATAGTTGAATCAGTCTTAAAAGAAAAACAATAATGCAGAAAGAAAACAACACATGATAACGCATAATGCAATTGTAAAAAAATTCAACCATCCCCCTCTAGCATACTAATTATATGGCCAGTTAATTAAACAATGTTAGTCCCCCTCTAGTGAGTGAATACAACAATCAGAGTTGGTCTTCGAAATCGCTAACCTCCAATTGTCGCTGTTCAGGTTTGTAATCATGACAGGCCCATCCACTCCCAGGGACAACACCATACAGACATTCAGGATTCTCCAAAGGACAATCAAGAGGTCCACCTTTAATATTATATAAGGGAGGATAGTCACTTTCAAAATCGTCCAGTTCCAAATCATTAGTTCCCAAAAGCGGATACATCTGGGCTTGGTCATTGTGAATTGGTGCAATAGCAGTGGTTATTATACGGTTAATCAGAGTGCGGGCACAGGGAATACAACAACATCCACACAATGTAAGAATTGATACAAAAACAGCAATAGAAATTAATACAGATGAAAAAAGGGTTTTATATTTACCAAAAACATCCATCCAGGAATCCCACATAGAGGTATCAACCCCAGAATGATCTTTCATTTTACCATTAAGAGTCCTCAAACCTTCTAGAGCAATTGTCAAACTTCCATCTGCAGCAGTATTGTTTGGAGATGAAAGTACAGCACATATATCCAAACAGAACACAAACCCCGTCCCGCTCAGCCAAAAGCATATCTAAGCTATTCTATTCTGCCATGTCATTAAGCTAGTTGCCGCTGTCTGCTCAGCTAATCCCTTTATTGCATCACGAGTGTGGTTTATAAATATTTTGCTGGTGATATTAAATATAATTTATCCAATCTACATTTTTATTAATTGTTTGACCACCAGAAAATACTTGATTCAAACCCAGCTGCGATCTGATTGTGGATCCCATCAATATATATCCTTTCATCAAAGGATCCCGGGAGGAGGTCCTACTTTCTATGTGACAACTCACCAGTCTCTGACACGTTTGATTGTTTGCTTATGTAGGTGAGTTCACAATCAGTTATCACCACACATCCATCAGATGTCAGCACGGGTCTGGTTTTTTGGCTCCTAAAATCCTCTGGCTGCAACAAAGAGGAGAGATTAGTCATGGTCTCTTTGGGTGTGACATTCTCTGTGTGGGAGCAGGAGCTAAAAGGCCCTACCCTGTATCCTGTCTTACTAGTCCTAGAAAAACAATTAGAATCCCCTGTGACTTCAAACTGAGGCAACCCAGGTCGGGATGACTTTGTTATCAGGGGAAACAGATAGTGCAAGTTACCATAAGACTCTTCCACCACATTCCCAGGTGGCTTGCATGGAGGATAAACCTGACAGAGAGTCAAAGCCTGTCAAGGGGAACGGAGTAGTTGTTAACCTTGGTTTGGCTGTCCTACAGGCATAACAGTCCTCTTTAGACCGTACACTGAATCCATTCCAACCACAGGTTAAAATCTATTTACTCCATCTCCATCTGTACTACTTCCTTCAGGTCTATAGTTTGCACTCACTACCTCCCTCAGAGAGGTTTACTCTATAGGGTGCCCCAGTTGAAGAAGATATCTCACTTGTCAGGTCTGTAATCTGTTTTAGCATAATTCAGACTTTCAGACAGTACCTACCCTCATATGGGTCGCACTGCCATTTTCTGATAATTCCCTACTTTCACAACCCTAAACTGTGTATGGAGATTGGTGATGTCCTTCCCTAAAGTCCCTAGTATTTCCCCTTTCCCTACGTCTAGTTGTCTCCTATGCCTTTTCAACTTGTGTTAGGTTAACTACTACTTCTGGCTGAAACAGGAGGGTCCGTGTGTGTTAGGAATATGGCCCCCCCACAATCAGACAGCTACCTACCGTCGGGAGACCTGTGAATCCCCACCCTTGCCCTGAGAACATGTCAGATGCCAGAGGCCAACCCATTGCTTTACCTTCTATCGAACTCACACAGGGATGATCAGACAGGGTAAGGGAATCTTCGTTAAGGAGGCAACCCCCGAACCCTAGTGGTGATCGGATCTTTCTCCTAACTCTGTGTTTGTTCGTCAGGTGTAGCTGGTTTTGCCTTTTTACAGTGTGTGACATGCACCCAGATGGATCTCTCAGCTATTCTGCTGGCAAAAACAGTACTTGGTAGGGCCCTTCCCGCCAGGCCTGCTTCAGTCTCCTGGTTAGATAGAGTGGGTCACCTTCTCCTTTAATTCACCTGTGGGGGCACAAACCCTCTGACATACAGGTGTGGTTAATAAACGACCTTCTCACGTGTTCTGCTAGGGTGCTCTCTAGTTCTATGTCTGCCTGTCTGGTCCTGCCAACTGTGGCATTCTGTAAGGTCTTCCAAACACTTTCTCAAAGGGGGATAACCCATCTTTATCTGGGGTTACTCTAAATTTCTTCCCTTCACTCCGTGATGACTCTATAAAATCCATTTCCAATTGCTGGAAAGGGTACTTAGCCGGAGGATACTCACCCTGAGGTTCCCTTTGTCTGCCCTGGTGATTATTTTGAGCACAGAAACACATCTTTCTTTCTTTTCTTTTTTTATAATTA